TGAGATTTAGCTAACACGAGGTAGCAGGCAGATACAAAGAGCTTAATCATGGGAACATAGGCATAAAATACACCTAATCTTGGAGGCCGCTGCTCTTATAATTGCTTATAATTATGTATAAATCAAAAATCCTTGTTTCAAGACTGCCAATTGCTATTTCTTTCAGTGTTACTACCTTACGCTTGAACTTACACAGTGTTTCCCACCACAGGATCTCAAATAACTCCATAGACACAAAAAGCCCTTTCCTTGGGAAGGTGTGCAAGCTCTAGAGAAGCGACTGCACACAAACTACAGCCCAGCTTGTTCAAATATTACTACTTTCAGTGATTTCATCTTGGATTTTCTCAGCATAATAGACATAAGATCTGTCTTGCTCCTACTGCTGCCTTTAGTGTGATGTGTGCTCAGTCAACGTGAAATCTGTTAAGTCCAGGAAGGTTTACGTGAACCACTCAGAAATGGAAACCCTCAAGATCAATGGATTCTTCGAAAGTTAGGCCAATGAGATTTCCATACTGCCTCATGCTGAATGGAAGTCAGGGATGTGGTTCAACCACCACATCTCAGCTGATCTAAACAGGTCCAACTTCACTGGCTCTAAAAGAGCTACGCTGCTTTCCAGAGCTGAGACTGGTCCTCGGGAGAACCGAGTCCGACAGCTCCAGCTGCTGACGAGTTATTTGTGATTAAATAAAGCAGAGGATGTGGAATCCTCAAGCACCTCTGCCCACCACTTCCTGAGCTGGTTATCAGTCCCTCTGTATAAATAGCTTTCAGGCACACCCTGAAGCTGGAAGCACACGCACAGCCCATTCAAAGGGACATAAAATGCCAAAGAACTAAAAATGACTTCAGTGCATTTCCTTCCCAGCGGTTATTCAACACTCCCAGCCCCACTCCCCCTCTCTCCTCCACACACCAAAGGAACCAGGGCACGGCTGACCTGTAAATTTACGGAGCATTTCGGTGCAGGTTTCTGCCACAGTTTCATCATCGCACTTCTCCATAATCAAAGCCTCTTCTCCACAGATCCAGCCACTCAGGACATGGCCGTACCTCTCCGGCGGGTAGAGTACATCAAAGCTGCAGATCTTCTTGTACCACAGCTCCTCGGGATAAGTCAAGCTCTCACTCTCTGCCTCGTCTTCCCAGACAAACTGGATGCTGTTGCATTCAGAGCTCCAGAAAGGTTCTTCGAACTCCAGGAAAATCTTGTCGGTTGTATTAATTCCAAGTTTCTCAATGGCCATTACTTTCTCCTCGGGCAAGCGGGGATGAAACAGGCTCTCGTGGCGCTTCTTCAAGACTCCCAGGGACACAGTCACAATGACATGGTCAGCCGGGATGAACTCACAGTCCTCGCACTCTACGAAGACATCAGAGCCCTTGTCCTCCTCGGGGAGGTCACTGTTGTGGTCAGCCACCCTCTCAATCTCCTTACTGACCGACTGGTTCCAGTGGATGCACTTGACCGGCTTGCGGAGCTGAATGACAGACTCGGGAATGGAGCGGGCCAGAATCTCCACGATTTTAATGAAACCGCAAGGAATGATGTGATGAGCCCCAGGGATTTCGGTCCATTCCCCAAATTCACTGAGTGAGACTTCATCCATGCTGTGGGAGCTGCTCTCACAGCTCTCTACCTAAGGAAAAGCAACACAAAAGCAACATTACCACGGAGCAACTCACTTTGCCACAGCACAACATTGCAAGGGCACAGAGGAGCTGCACAAGGTGTGCAAGTCCTCAATCCCACTCTCAAACCACGTTACTTTTGCTAAAAAAGAAGTGTTTGGCCGTAGGATCTGACAAAATCAATCCTTAGCCTTCCTACTAACCAGAGAAATGGTTTTGTCATGGCAACAAGCTGCATCAGCTTTGGTTGCATCGGTCACAGTTGCATCATCCAGGCTTCAGAGATGATGTCTTTGCTTCTGCAGGATTCTGGGTTACTGTTCTGACTGTTTTCTATCACTTAAAACCCACCTCACTGGCCAAAGACGGGCTTGCTTGGTGCTCCTACAACAGAAGCTGGAGCTATGTTAATCAGATGCTCTTTCCAATGTTAATAAATGTTCCTATGAGGAGCCATGAAAAGCTTCTGGCAGCTATTCCT